ATAATCACCAATTTTTCTGATGGTTATATCAAAGTCTGACTGTACATTGCATATTATACAAATTGGTAAGGCTATATGTAAAGCATCAAAATTCTAATATAACTTTGTAAAAGAGGTGTTAAGACTTCGGTTTACATTGTTTGGTGTCTATTTATCGTGCAATTAGGGCTGAATAATTATTTAAATCTTTTAGAAAAGTATTTGTCGTCTCTTTTCGAATATAGTTTACTAAATACTATTACGCATGTAGATAGGAATTACTGTATGTACCTTATCACTGCATGCTGCACAATCAAAATCCACAATATTACAAATTTTTATGGGACTAGACATATGATTGATTTTATTAAACGATTGACCATCCCATTGTTACACGCACGTCTTCAATAGAGGTTATACAATAGAATTATTATTCAAAAATAATAAAGGGTAAAAACGCTAATACGTATTAAAGATGTTTTAATTAATTGGATTTGTAGATAGTCACGTTTTAATCTACATTAAATAGCCAATCAAATAAGCTCCTCCTACAACATCCTCTATTCCTAATCTAGTAATCAATTTAAATTAACGATAGCACGTCTGAAGTCAGATTGTGTAGATCACCAAATCGAAAGAGCATAAAGAATAAACTTTAGCGCAGGCTTTAATTGATATTCTATATTTAAATATATTAATATAACTAAAAATTCCGTGCCGAACACTTTTATTTAGAAGACAAGCTGTTGACATCGTAGTAAAATCTTGAGTTATTTACTATTTTTCTGTTTTTTCAATATTTTTTATTTACTACAATCGACAATGCAGCAATGATCGACACAAAATGTCACAACTACAGAACTACGTAATTCCTTGTTTCACAACATGACATGATTTCGGAGATTTTATTTTACGGAGACGAATCAGATTCTACTGAAGTTCCAAAACTTCATTTACAGAAACAAGGTTATTAATTCTAGTTTTTCGCTTTACGGCACTCAAATAGTGAACTAATCTAGTGCCTGCTTTTTTATGAATTTACATATTAATACTTCTTATTAAATAAACTATACTGTTATTCGTCTGACTAAAATAATATAATGTTCATAATTCGGATGACTTTCAAGTTAAATGGAATTCCCTTTAGTTATAAAATTTTGTTTTAGGAAAACTAATGAACAACTCTGCTGATGAACAAAATAAATTTTATATTAACTAAAATATGATGTGTATTTTATGAAATGTCAACTAAAATTGGTCAAACAGTCAAAGACAACGTTCTTTTGAATACTTTATTAAATTTTTGCAAAACCTCAATAGAAAGATAAAATTATTCAAACATATAAATAACTCAAGTAAAATTCATTCAAATTAGAATTAACTATGAACTATAGAAAAAAAATTCGGAATTCATCCTCCAGTTATTCTGGAAATGCACATTATTACAGAACAAAACATGTACCATACTAAAGTACCCTGTTGATGCGATTTTTTTGCATAATAAAACTTTATAAATCACATACATATATAATAATATTTTGAAGACTGGTTCACAAAATAGTTTATATAATTAATTTAGGTTGACATGTATAATTTATACCTGGCGTTATTTGAGAGCAAAAATTTATCTTATACGTTAGTAATATACAAAGAATCTTCAATAAGTAGTACTTCCATACCTTGAGAATAACCCTCGGGTAAAAAAAAAACGTAGATCGGTATGGGTACAAAAAAAACAAAAAAACTTAAAACCGACAAGGCTAAATTAAATAAAAAACCTCCTAGTTATTATAAATTAGATTGCTGCATTACTTAGAATTAATAAATATGTTTAATTACAATATGTATCTATAAAGAAAAAAAAATTTCACTCAATTTTGTCAGAAGTAATTATGATTAACATAGTTTTTATGAATAACGGACAATCCATACTAATACTTTGACACTGTAAAGATTTATTTGTCTGTTTGTGATTTCAAAACTGGGTAGGTAAGTTAGTGATTTGCAACAACTGGTGATTAATAATTTCAATGGTGGGTGGAATAGTGCTTTTAATAATGGGCGTTTGTGATTTTAAAAGTGGGTTAGCAACTTGAACATCAAGTGAATTTACTGTTTCAACAGTAATTTAAACAAGTTAACGAGTGTTTACGGTTCGAGTAATGATAAAGATTTTACGAACAAGATTTTGTAGTGTAAGTTCATGAATTAGCAGCGACTTCAACTATGGATGTTCGTTTCAGCAGTGCAGATTCGTGGCTTTGACGGAGATGGGTCGTGATTTTTATAGTGGGTGAAGAATATACAATACGTGACAACTATGATCAGCCAACCAATTGGAAATTAGATTTTGGGAACGCACACCATTTCTTTCTTGGCTAACCCATATAAACTTCGTTTCATCCGTTATAGCCGGATACATGAGAAAGCAGGTTAGTCTGTTTTTGGGGCAAATAAAATGCCAAATTTGGAATAGGCCGGAACTTATTGAATCGATAAGATACCGATTTCGGTATACTCCGGTAGTATATTATCCCTACATCATAACTTACGTATAAATTCGGTCATCGAAAATTTCCGAATAAACTATCAGAATTTAAATTTACTCCAAAGTTAACTTATCAGGTTTTACAGGAGTAAATACAGAAATAAGTATTTCTGTAAAGTTCCCATTATATAAGCTGTATTACTGCCACAATTATGTAAGTTAATTATATGAACTACATATAGTAATAGTAAATACTAACTATAAAGGTTTCACAACATTTAAATCGATTATATATTTGCATATCAAAATGCGAAACGCCTATTTCATTGTTGTTTGTATACACTAAATTCTTAACTTTTTTAAAATGTTAAAGTTACCTAACGAATGCCTTTTAGAAATATTTAATACCTTTAAAGCTGATTATTCAAGTTTATTTTCATGCCTTCTTGTAAACCGTCGATGGTGTAGAATTATTGTACAAATTTTATGGAGTGAGCCCACCGTTCATTTTTTCGATAAAAGACTCATTAAAATATATCTTTCATCATTAAATTCTGAAGAACAAGCTTTTTTAAACTCTTTTAAGATTATTATTCCAAATTATCCAAAACCATTATTTGAATATTCAAGTTATACCGCGTCAGTTGGCTTTTATTTAACTGATGGAGCTGAAAATTGGTTTACTGAAGAATATAACAAGGATATATCTAATAAAAAATATAATATGGATTTAACTAATGAAGAATATAATATGAATAGATCTAATAATTTAAATGTTATTATAGATGCAATTAAATGGTCTTTGATTGCGATGTTTCTACGAACAAGTAAAAGACTTAAATATTTAAAACATCGTTTGGATCATTTTGATTCCGAAGAAATAAAACAATTAATGAAAAGTATTAACAAAAGTACTAGTTTAACTTCTTTAGATCTTTCATTTAGCAATCTTGGTTCTAAGGAAAGTGTGGCGTTAGCAGAGGCTCTTTATAACAACATTACTCTAACTTCTTTAAAGATCAATAATAATAATATTGGATTTAAAGAAGCCAAAGAATTAGCAAAAGCTATTAGCAAAAATAAAACTTTAACTCATTTAAATATTAACTATAATAATATTGGTTTTATTGGAGGAAAGGCAATTGCAGATGCTCTTTGTACTAACACTACTTTGACTTCTCTAAATATTTGTGAGAATAAACTAGGTTCTATGGGTACAAAAGTATTAGTAGAAGCTCTTTTTAAAAATAATAATTTAACTTCTTTGGATATTGGAAATAATTTTCTAGATTTTGAAGGAGTAAAAGTATTAATAGAGGTTCTTCACAAAAACACTACCTTAATTTCCTTGGATATTTCATCTAATAAACTCGGTTCCGAGAAAGGAAATATGATAGCAGAAGCTCTCCGCACAAATACTAGCTTGATTAATTTAAATATTGACAATAATCAACTTGGTTCTGAAGGGGTAAAAGCGATAGCAGCAGCTCTTTATAATAACGTCACTTTGAAAACTTTATCTATCAGTGATAATGATGCTGGTTTTGAAGGTGGAAAAGCAATTGCAGAGGCTCTTTGCATAAATACTACTTTGACTTCCTTAGATATTCGCAATAATGAAATTGATTTTAAAGGTGGTGAAGAAATTGCAAGAGCTCTTCGAATAAATTATACTCTAACTTCTTTAGATATTGGTTATAATGAGGTTGGTTTTAGAGGTGGAGAAGCATTTGCCAAGGCTCTTTGTAAAAATACTACCCTAAAATCCTTAGGTATTCAGGAAAATGAACTTGGTTTTAAAGGGGTAAAAGCATTAGCAAATGCACTTTGCAAAAATGTTGCCTTAACTTCTTTAGATATTAACGGCAATGATATTGAATTTGAGGGAGGAATGAAATTAGCAGAGGCTCTCTACCTAAATACTACCTTAACTTCCTTAAATCTTTCTTATAATAAGCTTAATTTTGAAGTCGGAAAAGCTTTAGCAGAAGCTCTCTATAAAAAAAATATTACATTGGACCACTTAAATCTTTGTTACAATCAAATTGATTTCACAAATTGCAAAAATACAGAAAATATAAGCGTATTAAAAAAATTTTTTCTACAAACGCTACATTAAAATTAATAAAATAAACATTAAATATTGCTAGCTTTGTTTCGTGTTTCATTAGTTAATTTCTCTTTGTTATATTAATTCAAACCTCTCTGAGAATAAATTGTCCACTAACAACAATAAAGAATACGTCTTAATAGCGTTTTTGAAATTTTCAACATTAGTAAAACATTGGTTTGCTGAATTGCATTATATTAATCATTTAAATCATGTACTTTCACAATTAGACGAGTTTTGTATTTTAATAAATCCTTTCATTATTTGTAAAAATGTCTAGATAACAATAATATTATTATTTTAAACCCGTATGTGATATCTTAGAAATACGGTATCGTGGTAGTATAGTGATAGTATCACAAAAATAGAGTTTTACAGAGATTACAAAGTAAGTGGCGTAACCATATTAATCTTGTAAATAAATTACGACGTTAAATATAGTCTTGATCGCAACAAACTCATGATATGGTTCATATAAATGGGTAACGCAAGGAAAAATCCGACTTTGGGGACACAATCAGTCTAATTTGTTAGTGATACAAATATAATTAAAAGCCTGAAGTCCGTTTTCCCTTGGTGACACCCAAATAATTTTTTGTATACCATTCAGAAAGTTAAAAATAATTGTTCTTACCAATTTGTTTTATATTATCTATTATATTAAATCTTATCAGAGCTCCATTGATCATCCTTAAAATTACCAATCAAAATGCATAATCGAAATTCACATGATCCATTATAGCGGGCTTTCATTCTGATTGGTGACTTTACATATCCTAATTTCCTAATAGGAAAGAATTCGAAGTAAAAAAATGCTACGTATAAGTTATTAAAAAGACATTTTCAAATTATAAACCTTAATAATTTTTTAATGACATTGTAAAATGCGTATGGTTAAATTTAATTAAAAAAGTTTATCTTTAGGCTTAATAATTTCTTAGTATATGTAAATAATCTTTATTAATCAAATCACTTACTAACTAGTACATGATTTAATAACAAGTCTACAAGTTAAATAATGAATAACATAAATTAATTGATTGTTTTAATCGCTATTTTTCAAATTTAAAAAAGAAAAATTTAATAATTAAGTTGCGATTACTTTGCTGATTACTAACCCTATAAGACAAAAAGTGCAATTGTCACTAACTCCAAATTTCTCGGATTATTTTGGTATGTTATAGAACGAATAATGGAGTTTCAAAATTTATGGCTATCGATTCGTTCAAAGTCAACTGTTATAACAAAAGGTAGAAAACTATTAAAAGAATAATCAAATATCAATAAGTGTAATACACGCTCATGGAGGCTATGAACCGTATAAAAAACAAACGCCAATAACAGAACGCTGTACATATCTTACGCATATTCGATTTTTAATATGTTGTAAAACTTAGTCGAATAACCCTATATTCAATGCAGTATATATGAGTGCGCCCAAGGGAAAACCTGTCATCGGACATTCAATTATATTTCGTGTACAGTTAACCGTCTATGGAAAATCTATCATGATGATAGATTTTCTACAGACGGCTAACTGTACACGAAATATAATTGAATGTCCGATGACAGGTTTTCCCTTGGGCGCACTCATACGCAACTATACTTTTTTTTGATGATTGACCAATCAGATTTAAAGCCAGCTATGCTCTGATCTACAGCATAAGCAGGCTTTAATTCTGATTAGTCAATAAATGTATCGTTACATATACACCGCATATATCACTTGACTTTAAAGGAATTTTCAGCCATGAAAATGAATTTCTAAAGCATGCGATATACAGCAAAAATAATCTGGAATCAGAGGATTAATCTAGAAGTTAGCAACGGGGTGCACTTTTTGTCTTACAAGTTAAGGTAATTCAGCAATCGGCAAACTAATTTGTACTTTGGCTAATAAATTCTAAGTTTTTTTTTTAAACCACTTGAAAATGGCAATTTGAGTAACAATACTTGGTTCATTTTTTCTGATTATAAAAAACTACAATATATTAGATGTAGAGTATGCGTAGAATATGTACGATTACACGTTATGTTCTATAGTTACTTTGCAAAATTTTGATAATTTTGAGATATACAATTATTTGCCAATAATAAGTAATATAAAGTGCATTATTGGTACTAAGTTAGTAATTTTAATAATTTATTACAAGATTATTTCATTATTAGCACTTTAAATACCAATAAAATATTGGTTTAATAGTGATAATTTTTAGGTCTTATTATTACTAAAATATTGATAATATATTGCTAATATTAGCATTTTATTAGCATAATAATGACAAATATATTTAGGAAATTAAATTATAGTAACAAAATGCTAATAAAATACTTAGATTTGCAAATGGTAGCATTTTAATAGTACATATTAGCACTGTTAAAATGCTTATTTTTAGCAAGTTCAATTTTGACTGATTTTTGCAAAGTAGTGTTTGGTTTTCTATACCGTCCATACTCTGTGTGTGTAGATTACTCTTATTAATAGTTGACGGATCTTTTTTAATTTATTTATGTTATTCAGTTGTTATTAAACTATGTACTAGTTAGTAAGATATTTGAGTGTTGCTAAATAAACCCGAAAATTTAAATATGACTTATATTTTAAATTTTCAGGTTTTCTTTTAGCGACACTCATTTGTTAATAAAGTTTATCTATATTGTGAGGCCCGATAACGTGACGTAAATACTCTGCCGGAACCTCACGTGAGACGGATACGACGATCAATTCCTC